CTCAATCTGGCATGGGCCCTCCTGGTCGGGAACGTAGGTCACGTCATAGACACCAGGTTGACCCGGCTTGGGAACCACCTGGGCGGGTATCCTGCGGCCGGAGCGGTCAGTGTGGGTGACCTTGAGACAAATGCAGAAAAGAGCATTTTATGGAGGCAACAACAAAGTGGTGCGCACATTGAGCCACAGAAGCCAAAGCGTCCCGTATGTCACCCTGAGTCGCTAAGTTGAACGCCTAGACAGCCCACTGGCGACAGCAGTTGACCGCGGGTGAAAAAACGAAAATTCGTAGATATATCTCAGGTGGATAGAGCGTTGGCTGTACTAAAGCCCCCTCTATTGCTGTCGTGGGTTCGAATCCCACCGGAGTGCCGAGTTTTCACAGTTGGGTCAATATGAACAAACAAAAAGCTGTCGGACCAGGCTTGCTTTCAGGAACTAGTGAGCATTGCAATTAATCACAACAAGTCCGGATATCCTTAAACATCATCGTGACACTTATAAAACTGTACACGAAGTCTCCGCACCCAGGTCTATTATCGCCCACAAAGTGTCGATCAGATTAAGGTTAGACAGAGTCAATGGCTATATATGTGCGCAGTAAGGATTACGACAAAGGTAAGATAGGCTAGGACGCCCATCTCTGACTTATTAGCTGTCGCCAGTCGGCCCTTTATAATCAAATGTGTAAGTGACCTGGGATTCGAACCCGGGATATTTGGCTAGTGGGAGTTCATAAGTACAACCCCCGGCCATTTGGTAATGGGTCCTTACTGCATCTATTCCTGGTTGTTACCCAATGGCCTGAGAGACCCCCAGCTTGCGTTCCAAGGCCTAACTGGACGAGCATGTTGCGTTGCCCGATCGATTGACGCGATTCCATGACATATGTATACATGCTGAGAGTGCGGCATAACCACTATGCTATACATATATATTTCTGGTATTGCTATTAGCACGACCGTCTCCCATTTCTCGTCTGCTCAACACAGGCCTTCACAATATGACTGAAGTATTACAGAAGGACGAGTTTCCTATCGCGTCCCTACGTGCATAATTTCAATCATATTTGACTAAAAGTAGATGCATGTGGAAACGGTATCTCGTAGGATCACAACTTGTGTGATTGATTTCAGCTCGCCATGCACAAATGCCGCTATCCCTCAACTACATGTAGCCTTAACTTGGTTCTAGACAACTGATATGAACAAGGAACAACTTCCGCCTCTAGAAAGCATTTGGAAATTAACGAATATGGCAGATAGGCTGACCGCAGACAACATAGAGGACACCTTAACCGAATGGTTAATGCGACTGTCGTTTCACATGGTTCACCATGCTTCGCTGGTGTGACGATAAACCACGGGGGCAGGTTGCCAGTCAAATCGTGCTGATCAATAAAGACAGCGAATTGGAGAAAAAAGGAAACACCAACCAGAAAGGAGGTTTTCGAGCTCAGGAAGACCGGTGACGGGAAGACTTACAGAAATGGGAGCCTCGCCGGCTTGACTAGCGTCCACTGTGAAGACTGCCGGTGTCTGAGCACGAGCGCCCTTTGGCTCGAGTCCGGGGCCGTAGCAACGGACGCGGCTCGGATCGACGCGGTCACGAATGGGAATACTGAAAGGACTACCTATAATGACATTAAAAAATAGATGAACTCTGCTGTGAGTTATGGAAGCTGGAAAGGATAAAGGCGTTGACCTCCTAAGGGCCTAACGTATACAAATCCAAGATACTGAAAACACGACGGAAATCGAATCTCGAAGTATGTAGTGTCGGGAAGGGTGTCCCGGCCATTAGATCCCCGCCGGATGCTATTCAGAGCTTATCCTCAAAGTATTTTTCGTTCGTGATTGGGTGAGGTCTTGCGCGTGGATGTCGTGTGACAACCTCGCACTCGCTCCTCTACACTTCATAGTATCCTGACAGAACTGAGTCTAGTGGGCTAGAGGCGAAGTCTGGCACAGGGATCTAAGGAGATTTCACTCTCGCCTCTTGTATGCCTCAACCGGTTTTACTCCTCAGTAAAAAGACGGCTGGCTACATAACGTTGGCGCCTGCTGGGCATGACATTATTCCATCACCCATTTTGTGTGTGTTCACATGACGGGTGACTCGCCGTTATCACAATCCACCCAATTAATCGGAGCATAGGTGGACGCGGATGGTCGAACACGCAGCAGCGGTGAGAAGGAAAGGCACCAACTCTCAGGTGGGGGCTCACTCCACGGAGCCCGGCCGTATTTCCAAGTGTCAAGAAACCGAAATCCTCACAGGTGGTGACAACTGCGTGAGCTGCAAGCTGTTGGAGTCATAGTTCTCAAGCCCGCAATGACCTCCCGGTACCATATTCGGTGCTGGGACATTCCCTGGGTAGGGGAATCAGGCATGTGGGAAGGGCGAGAGCGAGAAATTATCCCAGTGACAGTGGGCCAATTTGCCGAGCAATCGTCACACCAGCATCCAACACGGATGAAGAAATCACAGCGATTAACGACTCGGAAGCGGACTGACCAGCAATCATCGCATCAATTACGACCTCCAGAGGTGATCGCGGGAGCCGTCAATTATAGTACGTATGAGGTCCGACGCCAGCTACGTACCATAAATACTGCAGTCTTTGTGCCCCCATTACTCTTATCTGCGGCTGCCTCTGATGATGGGTTCAGGCGAGAATCCGAAAGGTCAGGCCAATAAACTTCTTGCTCCAGCGATAGCAGTTTCTTCCTCTCTAGACGTATAGATGACATCTTACTGGCCATCGTCGTCTCTGCGCGGTTGGTCGATCACGCTTGAATGTGCGTGACAGTGCTGGCTAAGTAGAGGGGCTCAGTAATTGTTGATCCTAATCAATGACAGCATTCCTCTGTCCATGTTGCAATGGCTACACCGAATCCCGACAAGGGGAGTGTTGCGAAAGAAAGGCTGGATTATCAAATATCACCTTGTCCTCTGTGTACCGCGAATGCCTCTATGGCATTACCACATATGCGAGATGCGAGGGGCTCTTACTAAAGCCTCTTGTGTCAAGATCGGGGTCAGGTTTCGTGCGACGCACGCGTAGAAGAGCCGTTCAAAAATATCAGTCACTGCGTCCGCAATCCCTACTGACCGTCTCACCTTGGTTACTTTATCGAAGCAAGGTGGGTGAAGAGGAGGGAATTTGGTAGCTTTGTAGCAGCCGCTCCAGCCCCCCTTTTCTCCGGCTCCGTTTTGTCGGCCGATGGCCGCGACAAGCACTGACAGGCCGCTGACACACGACCACCCACACCGGCTAGAACTGGGGCCCCTCCTGTCCAGCTGTAGTGACTCCCGGCTGCCCTCACAAACTAGTATCACCTAACGCGCGTCGAACGCTCTGGCTTGATTCCCGTGAGGCCTTGTGAGTATGCGCCCTCCATTCCTCCCCTAATTTGTCCAATCACACGACCAACACAGCCAGTCACCCCTCCTGCTGACCCAGACACCCACTCCCGCGTAAACACCACACCGCGACTGACGCTCTCCGTGAACGGACGCTTTTCTCTGTTGCAAGCAAACAGCCAACTTACGGCAACCTGCCCTGTGTACAGAATAAACTAGTCCTCACAGCCCCCTGACTGCTGACAATAGAAGAAACGAACTTATTGTGCGCGGTTTAAGTTGATCTCACATCCTTGACCGCCACAGCTTCTAGGGGATTCCACTTTTCTCAATGCAAACTGACGCGCGTGTCACCACCGCTGGATAAACCTCGTAAAGCACGACCGAAATGGCCGCTTACGGCGACTTAATGTTCATATCCTGCTGGCGTACGTGCCGCAGTGGCGATTTAGGGTAGGGCGATGCTTGTTTTATCACTAACTACGCTTTCGCGTGAACTAGAGTGCGTGTTGTTATTCCTGAAATTTTAGCGGGGACAAATCTATTCAAGAAGGCCACTTGAGGTTTAGAATTGACGTTGGTGATGCATCCAGGGTAGAGTTGGTGATTTATGTGTCAAAAGGGCGTTCTTTCCGCTTGTCGATGACTTCAGCAGAGTTACGTTACATAAGGAGTGCCGACGAAGAAAAGGCATGCTGGGATGGTCATTCATGTCTTATTAGTCGTCGCCAGCCAGTCATACCCAACCTGTGATCCAAACTCGGACTTAATGGACATTGAGCGTTACGTCCGAAGGTTTGTCATTGAGCCACGGATTCGTCGTCCTGTCATTTGTGATCGGGAATATCAGTTAGCGTGGCAAGGTCATTAGCCGACCAGGTTATATGACATGCTAGTTGCGTTGCTCAAAGGGCTCAATCTCGCAGGCAGTCGTATAGCGACCAGTAATAGATGCAGCAAATGAGTTCTACGATTGAGCCGCCGGTACGTTGTCCTGCCGACTGTCGTTAAACAACTGCTCTCATTATTTATAACATTTAAGCACCCAATTATCACAAATTTTTCCCACGTTGACTTCACCAGACATAGTCTCCGCCTTTATGGAAGGAGGAGTATAGGTATGAAAAAAAAAACAATCTTACAGTACTAACATTATTCTAAAAGACTTAGTCAAAAACAGGGCTCACCGGGGATGTCCATGTCATTGAATTTCACAATCATGTCGTACTTGCCAGCCTTCGTGGGCAGGTACTCGACCGAACAGGTGCCGTCCTTGTTGTCGGTGCATTGGATTTGAGCGTCAGCGGGACCCTCGAGCGCTAGGCCGAGTCCGCCCTGGCCGGCGCCATCCAGATCCACGGTGAATCTCTGGGTCTCGTGAGTGTAGCCACCCTCGAGGCCGGGTCCGTAAGCCCGAACCCGGCTCGGGTCGCAGCCCGGCGTCACCTGCACCCTGAAAGGGCTTCCCGGCACCGGCATGCCATCGTACATCACTTCGACCTGATGAGGGCCTGAAATTGGACATAGGAGCGGACCCCAGACATGCAGTGTCCCGGAAAATTATGATTGGCATTTTAGGAAAATTGGCAAGATTTTATTTCGTAGCCGTATCGGTTAGGGGTTAGGTGTTGGTAGAGAAAACGCATCCACTCAGACATCTTCTGTCTCTTTGGACTTGATCTGCCCTTTCATTGAAAGTGCACCTACTAGTATTGACGTCACCGGTCCTGACTAGGCTGTCTACAACGGAAACAAGGCCAAAAATGGCTATTCCTGGCCTACTCCTCGTCTTCTTCGTTATCACTTAGCGACGACCGACCGATTGAGCATCTTTATGCGTGTGTCTGAGCTATTTCCAGAGAGGAGATCTAGGGCCAAACGGACTCGTTCGTATTTCATCTGCCAGACAAAACATATCCGTTAAGGAAATCTCGTGTGTTCCTTCCAGAGACTAAGAGCTTGCGAATGGAGGCGAATGTTCGGATTCCAGGTGTATGTATGGGTAGGGCAGAGGAAGACTGGTCGATTGGCTGGACCGTTCATTTACTATCCTGAGCCTTCGTTCAGGAGTCCATCGTTAGAGGTAAATGCGGCAACAAAACAGGCTAATTAGTCGTGTGAGAACACTCTTCAAACGGATTCAGGCTCATTCCAGCAACCCAGAAGTCAAAGCACATGAGGTCCGATATCTCCGCAACCAGTGTGAGCGAATCGGCTGCCTAAAGGTGCTTATAAGTCGATAACTACTGATTCACCTTTGGGGGATCCAAAAGTATGTACCATCGATGATATGGCATGACCTGCTTTACATTAAGGACGTCCCAGATGCGAACGAGAGCAGTGCTACTGGACGAGCTGTTGAAATTACATGTCAACACTCAGCCATCGTGTGCAGGACAAGATCCTATTTCGTAGCTGTACCTGTTAGGGGTTGGGGTTGGGGCTAAGGATTAAGGTTTGAGGTTGGGGGTTAGACAGGGGCTTTTCTACTGTAGGTACGACTACGAAATAAGATCCGATCGTGTGCAGTAGGGTCATGAAAATTATGAACCGATTGAATCACAATGAATAATCTGAGGCAATGTATCGTATCCACTGCCTAGATCGTCTGTAGTGGCGCCACTCCAAGCGCCTGCCACAGCGCTAGGCCTCTCCCGAGTGTCGCTACACCCACGCGTGCACTAAGGCTGTCTGGCGTTCGCCCACCCGCTTTTCAAACTGACCAATCAGATTCAAGGTCGAGTCAGACGTTCTCTCTGAAGGTTGTGGTAGCCAGGGCCTCACTCTCGGCCTAGGCCTCTGCGATACGCCCTTCCAACTACACAGATCAAGCTGGACGTGTAGCGCCTCATTTGTGGGTGCGCCCAGAGCACCCCAGTCGGACGCTCAAATCTCGAGTAGCGGTGTAACAGAAGTTGTAACGACTAAGCGGTGATGGTGTATGCTCAGTGCGCCGCAACTTCAGGCAATATCCCGAGTTGGGTAGAAGATTTTATTCTGCGCAGAAGGATAGGGGTTGGAACTAGGGTTATGGGTCGGGGGTTGGGGTTAGGAGTTAGGCTGGGGTTTGTCTACTGCAGGCACGGCTACAAAATATGATCCGACCAAAAAATGCGAAAGCGAGATTGCCATACAAATGAGCCGCAAAAATTTGCGAGTTTCTGCAGTACTGAGGCTTGAAAAAAAGATGGCAATTTAGAAACTTCTCCGATATCCACCTGGCCAGAGCTCCAGCTAAACAACCGCAGGTTTCCAAACTTGCCGAAATAGTATGTTTGCGGGGAATTTCCGTAATTTTGCAATTTTTACCAATGAGCATATCTACCACGCAGTAATGCAGTTGTAGGGGTGTGTTAACGGATTCGGATTGTATTTCAGTAGACGCCTAAATGTTGTTGTTGCCTCAAGTAGCATGTTTATTGTAAAAGCCTAATTTCCTCTTATATGACTCTAAGGCATGAGCTCATTGTTAGGCAATCGTTGGATGCAAATACATACTACTTCAATAAAGAGTTTCATCGTGTGGGACGACCGTTTCTCAAAAGGCGGTAGTCATATGAATTTACTTAACATTATCCTTAAAACTTTTCCAGCAGAACTTAAGTAAAAAAAATAAGAAAAGGGGACATTCTATGATCTAAACTGAGAAAACGAGTTTTGACGTAGGCCGTACATATATACTAATAATAAAATCACGGGGAACCCTGAGGACTTCGTTCTTATGTCGGGACTCCCTTCTTTGTGACGGTCGTATGACCATGAGGACGTCCTTATCTATCTTACTGGGCCTAAAGTTGTGTAAGCGTCTGCGGCAACGGTATGAAGAAGGTCCCCACGTAACTGTCAGTAGACAATGGATTGTGTCATATGGGGTTTTATCTTGGCATAAATTTGCAGGCTGTTGCAGAAAGTAAACTGCCAACAACGATTACTTCCCACGACCTCACCTAAACTCAAATTCCGTCATTTTTTGAAATTCACTTCTCGCTTATTGTTTAATTACTACTCACATTTCCGTTGTACCAGACTGGCGTAGGATGAGACTTCCAGGCAATTTTTCTCTTTCCTTTCATTATGTCAGCTTACTGTCTAGCGTGCTGTCCCACCCACAAAACTCCCTTTACCATTACTCATGTATGGCGCGATCCAAGGTCTACCTACAGGTAAGTGGGGTCCTTCCCTATACCGTTGCCGCGTATGCTATGCCAGGATCAGTAAACCATGGCCCTCGCAGCCTGGTATGCGCTGGCAGTTCCTTGACACCTGGTTCCCTGCCACGTGCCCCGTCGACACCCCCGAGCACCTTGGGAACCTGTTACCGGAGGTCTAGGAGCCGGATGAAAGGCGGAGGGGGGGGGGGGGGGGGGGGAAACTAACCGTCTTCCAGGGGTGAGTAGCTGCATTTGTAGGTTCCGTCGCCCTGGTTTTGGACGATGCAGGCTGTACGCTGTTTGGTGGGGCTCACCACGATTGCCTTTACTGTGCCCCGACCGGTGGGATCGATGGGTTTGGCGTCGACAGTGAATTTTGCGAAGGACTCCTTGAACACGCCTGCGCGGGGCCGGAAGAGAGGACGAATAAATGTCAGTAGAAGGAAATAGCATTCTGGATCAAGACTGGGTAGGCAACTGAGGGTTCCGAACAGGCAGGCAGCATGCAATTGTGTAGCAAATGCGCGTTTCAAAATAAAAAATCACTCTGACAGCATAGCGCTTTTGGGCTATTTTATCGTCCGTCCTTTTAATCGATCGATTGAACTGGCGGCGTCAGAAGGGCAGTATAAGGCGGATGGAACAGAAGTAAAACATGTCAGCGATTGGAGAAATCAATTGAAGTTCGTCTTAAAACACTGGAGGGGTGTAGGAATATGGGGGGGGGGGTTGGGGGGTAATAGTAGTCAATGCCAAGGGGCGGGGTCAGAGCGGAAGGGCGCGGAGCCTGAACATGGTTCTTCTGTGCGCACAAGATCGGTTTCCGTAAACTAATGGGGGCCGCTGCTCTTGTTCCTAACAGGCGCTGGTCCAATAGCCTAAGGTAGCTTATAAATCACGCGAAAAGCTCCGCTGGGATCCACATGATGTCCGGAATCAAGAATATGTGCGAGGATGGCGCTGTTTATACCCATAGCTTGCCCTCTTCCCAGCCATACTAGGAAGTGTTCTCATATCCACGTGGATAGGCGCCGACTCTTGCGACCAATATGACCTGCTCCGCAGGAGCAAGTGAAGGAATAGATGCACATTGACGCGGTCGGAGATGGCAGCCTTATCCTTGCCTTCTCCACGTAAAATAGCGTTAGTAGTGAATAGTATTCGAACCCTCGCTGCTGGAAAGGTTCGTGAGATAGTCTGACCAGGGCGTCTTCTTGAAAGTTTACTTGCAGCATCCCCTTGAAAAGGGACTGCGATGAACAGCGTTTGCTCTCAACAATATTCTTTGCAACAAACCGTTCTCGCAAAACAAGTCCTGGATCTTTTTAAGCCCCTCCTCGATGCTATCTGCGAATTCGGAGGTGAAAAAGCTGTCTATATGTCGGACAATTGGAACCAATCGGCACTGGCTTGCTTAGTGGTCATCCATTCGAAATGGCAGAATCGCGCGAAACCATACTGAGGATTAACTTTGGTGGACTAGTTTAACTAATTAAGAAGGCCTGTAACTCTAGAACCAGCCAATCAATATAGCTTCGGATTGCTATCCTACATCTGACCGACATTTTGGGCAGACCCCGGAACATTGAAAGTAAGTGAATAAGAGGAGTCGAGCACCAGAGCACTTTGTTTATTGACCCGAGCTTTCAGACTCGTGTGAAGACGCTCTTCAAACGGATTCAACTCATTGCAGCAAACCGGAGGACAGAGCACGTGAGGCCCGTTATCTCCGCGACCAGTTTGTGCAAAATGGCTATCCGAGGGCATTCATGAGTCGCTGCCTACGCTGTCGCCACCAGAGAACTCGAACACTAACACCACCGACGATATGGCATTCTCTGCCATACATCAAGGGCGCTTCAGAAGCGACCGAGCGCATTGCTGCGGAGCTGGGTGTTGGGATTGCACACCGCCCCAAAGCCACCATGTGCAATAGGGGCATGAACATCAAAGACCGGTTAAAGCCTGAAGAGTAATCTGGAGTAGTGTATCGCATTCCGTGGCAAAATTGTCCTTGTAACTACACAGGACAGACTGGACGCATGCTCGGATCGCGCATACACGAACATAAGCTGGCTGTGCGACGAGGCGACGCACTATCACAAGTGGCCGCTCACACCTACGAAATGGGTCATGATTTTAACTTCGCAGCCCTTCAAAATAGTCGCCCACGCCGGAAACAAAATAGACCGAGAATTTATTGAAGCCTGGGCCTCGGACGAGAACTCGGTCAATCGATTTATCGATCTGGCGTCGGCGTACGGAGTCCTGCGTAGTCACCTCCAGGCTTGCGCCGTCGGTCGATGATTGGCCTACATGCCTTATAACTGTCGCTTGTTCTGTTTCTGATACTACCTCTGACGATGGACTCCTGTACGAGTCTGAAAGCTCAGGACAATAAACGAAGTGTTCCGGTGCTCGACTCTTCTTCGCTTATGCATACATCTGGAACTGGAAATTTCGCCTTCAGTAATTGAAAGTAAACATAAAATCGCATAGGAAAGTGGTAAACTTATTAGTCTTCTCTTGGTAGTGACCAGCTCGACCTCTATGCTAAGCGCACAGTTCCGGCACTACTAAAATACTGTGAGGATCAAGGATGTGGGATCAACCCAAATGGCACACTAAGTCCGTTGCATCTAATGTTAGATGTCAAGGAGCTGTGAGAACCAGTTTATTCTGTACACAGGGCACGCTGTCGTGTGTAAGAGCAAAGCGCACCTTTTGGAGAGCGTAGGTCGCGACGTGCTGTTTACGCGGATGTCGCATGCCCGTGCCAATGTGAGGGAATGTCTGAGTGCTGGACATGTGATTGGTTGGTTCAGGGACGGGGGGCGCAAGGTCACAAGGGCATGCTGTCCGACGCGCATGCGACAACGACAGTTTGCGTGCGCAGCCGGGACTCATTGCAGCTGAACAAGAGGTATCGGTGGCCATGCGTCAACAGTGTGTCCGTAGGTTAGTGCGGTTGTCAAGGTCACTGACCGACAAAGAGGCGCTGTAAAAGAGGGCACTAGAGCGACGGCTGGGATACTACCAAGCCCTCGATCACATGATTCACTCAGCACTTGAAAAATCGAACATTTCAGGGAGAGCAAATTTACATATTTCACTGTAGTCTCATTGGGTTTCGTGTTCACCAGTCTGGCTTGATCTTGAATTTCTCGCCTCAATGACCCATCGGCTTCGGAGCTCAGATCACTCAAACTTCAAATTGGGGGTATAGCTGGAGTATTATGGTTACTAGGTCAGAAATACCCATTTCAGTTTGCATGGTAACCGGCGGCACCACGTCTAAACTATAATTTGGTGAAGAATCCGGCAAGTTCTTTATCGACGACAGTTTTCACACACCGTCCATTCATTTCATCCCTCACTTGTCAAGCTACTACTTTGTAGCATTTAGACTGCACTGTTTTCAATTACCGGAAACTGAGCAGAGATGGATTAGACGAGAGGGTGCACTTTAACGGACTCTTGACCGAACTGAACTCATCAAGGGGGAGATGTGGTTTTGTAGCCCCACCTGATGGACACAATACTGTTGGTGTTGGGGTTAGGGTTAGGGGTTAGGGTTTTGGGCTGGGGTTAGAGTTAAGGGTTAGGGTTAAGGAACTATTTCCCAACCACTCAAAGCACAACCGCGCATTCCCAATAGATCTTCTTTTGCGTACAACTTCCTGGCCTCGTCGCCTGTGTGTTCCTCGGCCCCACCTGTAAAACCCCCCTATTACCACCGGCTGCGTATTACAGGTGGCTGGGGTTTGTTTACTTCAGGTGGGACCACACAACCACATCTGTCCGGCAAGGACCCTAGTTACAGGTAAAAAATACCCCCGAAAGACCTTATCCAGTTGGAAGCGAGGAACATGCAAGACCAGCGACATGCAAGAGGACTCCAGACCGTCTACCTCAAGACGCGAAGCTCTGCGAACAAGGCCAGAACATGCAGAATTTCGCGATCATTCATCAGGGAGGAGGGGGAAATCAGTTCTGCAGGCTCCTTGGCGCTTGCACAATCGGACCAAGTTGTGGCTGCTTCCCACCTCCACATCCATGCCCTATAGCATGCCGAACAGGACAATGGCACTGCGCGCTACCTGTCGGCTGAAGTCCCGGCCCATAGGCGCGCACTTTTGAGGTATCCACGAGATCCCTGCCGGGCGGCATCACCTGGACCGGGAAGGGGCTGCCCTGCACATGCTTGTCCTTGTAAAGCACATTGACCGTATAGGGACCCGGCTCCACGGGCAGGTAGTCCACCCCACAGGTGCCGTCTCCGTTGTCCACGTAGTTGATTTGAGCCTCAGCAGGACCCTCAATAGTGACGCTGAGAGGCGCTGGCGGGGCCTCGCGACTGTCGATGGTGAATCGTGCTGGTACGCCGGCCGTGGCCTTGTGCAGTCCATCGCCATAAGCACGCACCAGGCCAGCTGGATCCGGCCCGAACTGGGCTGGGGCAGCGGCTCGTTGAGCCATCTGATCCATAGGCATGATGGGGGCCTCCTGGGGCACCGCGTTCAGGGGGAAGGGACTGCCGCGCACCGGCACTCCGCCCACATCCACGGCCACCTGGTGCGGCCCAGGCGTGGTGGGCGTGAAGGAGCACTCGTAGCCGTCTACAGTCTCGCGTAGGCTGCTGGGAACGCGCGCGCCTGTGGGCGCCATCACGGAAACGTTAGGACGTGGCTTTGGCGCACTGATGGGTCCGGCACCCGCGGTCAGTACATCAAAGTTGGTTGGCCTGTTTACTGGCGCGGCTGAAGGAGGAGTGGGGTGCAGACGTAATGACTACTAGGGGGGGGGAGGGGAGGGGAGGGGGAGTTTTACACGCCCCGGATGGAGAGCGTTAGTGGTTGTGTGTGCGCATGTGGCAGACGAAACCGACCCGACCGGCAAAGCGGAGACGAGTGGCAGGACTTTTACGCACGCGACCTTGAACTGCCCAATCAACACAGCCGATCATTAAATAACTAATTTCGTGAATAATCACGACCGCTATTGTGACTTTTACCTAGTCAGCCGCAGTAAGTTGCTATCTGAATCCGCCAAAATACTCCTAATTAAGTAACGAAGAAAGTGACAAAGGGCTTTAAATTTCGTGTGAGACAGATCCAGAATCGAAAAGTCAGTTGGAAAATATATGTTTTCGGTAACTCATCATCAGGCCGATACATTTACATGGGTAATTATCATTCTTATTGTAGACAGGATATAAATGCGTCTCAGGGGCAGGGTTAATCGGACTCCATGTTTCCACGCCGCCCGCATGACGGAGTCAGCGTGTTGAGGACGGTGGAGTTGGGGTGGGAGGAGGGGGGGGAAGGAGATGGGTTCCGGTTCGATTGTACGCGCTGTAAGTGCGTGTGACGGCTCTCAGGACGTCGGGACGGCGTGCGATCACAGCGTGCAGTCGGGCAGGGCAGACAGACTGCTTGCGTCAGCGTCTTCTGAAAACAGAGTGTTGGGTTCGCTTGTCGAATGCCCACTGCCTCGGCTGTGTCTAGCAGCCGTTTGCGCAGGCCTTTAGAGTAGTGTGTCGGTGTCCGGCAGATAACTTTAAAGGCTTTTTTTAGCATCGGCTTGGTGGCTCGTAGCGATTAGACGTACGAGAATTGAACTCGAAATCGATCGATTTTCACCTCTACCTAGCCAGGCAGGCATGCGTTCGCGTGTTCTCTCTTCCAGACGCCTCGTTGCACGGCCAATATATTCCGCTCAACAGGAGCAGGTGAATGAATAAATAGACATGGATTTGGCCTGTAACGGCAACCAGTCTTTGTCCCCCCACCGTAGTAGGGGGGAGTTTGATAAGAATACGCGCAAGATACAGAATCGTTGAAAAGAAATGTAGCACTCAGTGGCTTATGACTAAGGTTCGGACACAAGTGTCCTTCTGATTCCCTGAACCTTTCTCTTAAAGCCCTGCGGCACGAACTACTTACTAGGCAGTCTCAAACAAGGCTGTTTGAAGAGGTTGCCCTCTGAAGTCCCCCAGAGTGGAGTCGTTGATTCAAATCCTCTTCAAGACGCTTACACCACTTGTGCTTACAGTCAGTGACGATTAACTGGCGAAAGGATATTAGGAATGACCCGTTATGTTTAACCCAGTGGGACCATATGAGCGAGAAGAGCAGTGAAAATAGTCGGACATCCTCAACAAGATAATATACGTAAGCAGAGCGGTCCATTTATTGCTCTATCCGTTTATTACTCCAAAAGAAAGCCTCAATGGAGCCTAAATGATTGAAATCCACTTTCCTGGAGTCAGTACTTTCAGAAGGTGGCAATTTTTCCTCGTTGGCCAGCACCGTTGTTCTGGTGCTCTGTGAATCCTAGCAGCGGACAGGTCGATGAACCAGAATTAAAAGTGCCTCCGATGAGGCTGCTTTATAAGTGCAGGAGTTTTCTATATAGACCTTACTCGAATTCAGTTAGATCGCGTTGGAAAATCCGCCAATAACTTACTCGAGGGAAGACCCGCGACGCGAATCTTGCTCATATCCACATTCGGTTTAACAGGAACTTTGAAGGGACTTCGGGGAACCTCTTGGTTTTCGAAGAACACCTGAACAGTATACGTAGGTCCGGGCGTCTTGGCTGTGTAGGCGACATTGAAGGTGCCATCGCGCATATCCTTGGTATCCATGGGAACGTCACGTCCAGCTTCATCACGAACATTGATTCCAACGCTTCCTGGAAGTAAAAAGAGGAGGGTGGGATGGATGAGTTTTCAGATTGTGATACTGAGGCCGTTGTGTTACCGGCTCAACAGTGTCCTTCACACTCTTCTTTTCGGCATGTACACCACATTTGACGTTTAGTAATGTAATGTTAATGTTTTTAACAGTTTGAACAATTCGGTTATCTGTTTGGTTTCGAAAAAGTTTCTGCAGCTGTCTGATGCTTCCATTTTCAAATTCCTGATATAATTCGCTTCCTTGTAACAAACAGGCAGTTCAAAGGTCCAACACCTACGTTTCCCTCAAACAAACTGAACTGAACTGAACTGAACTGGAAATAGATGCGATCGCTGAAACAAGAACCTGACATTTCGGATTCATGCTCGGACCCGTCGTAAGAGAAAGCATTATATACGAGCCCATAATACACAAGGGGTTACAGTATTTAAAGGATGCAGTCTCTACGCAACTGCATACCTAGCCAAATAAACGCCACCCCCTTAGTGCAATAATGGCTTGATGGACGGCATTCGAGTCGTTATTTGCCGTGATTTCATCACCCAAATTAGACGTTGACGTGGTGATTACCCGACCACCTGGTCTACCGACACTGGCGTTGGAAACAATGTTTGCCTGGTCACTCCTTGTGTGGCTAAGTTGTAGCACCGTACATATAGGGGAAGGTCATTACACCTGGAACCAGTGAACCATGGCTTAAAACAGGTCGCCGTTTCTGCGGTTGTCTCTTCTCGCAAGAAGATTTCGTCGAACTTGAATGTATGGCCAGGTCCCAGCAAATCCTCGTTATTAGCTGTCTGCTTGCAAGGCGACTTTGCCGGATAAATCCGCTTCTCTCCTCTGCCGTACGCTGTTGCTTATTATGATTGCGCCTGCCAAGGAGTTCCGAGCGTTTGTTAAGAAATTGTACCAGCTTCCGTGCCCGCATGCTTCGGCAACTACTCTCAAGCCGACCTCCCTCGACGCCGTTGTCTAGTTTGCTGATCGATATCATGACCCTCACGCGATACTGGCCTACGAACACCAAATACGCCCGCCGACGCTCCTAATACTGTCTTCTGATTAGACGACGCTTTATTGCAGTAGATAGTAATAAGTCACGCATTCGACAACTGCGAAAACTTGCGAAAATCTCAACGGCCTTGGTGGGATTCGAACCCAGGACAGCTAGCCGAAGAATTAAGCACAGCCTAAGCTACGAGCTCCCACCGGAATCCGTGCGTTTAATCATATTCACGTCAAGTTACCCTCACAACTTACCGCAACGTATGGAATACACCAATTCTGACACATTAAGTTAACTGCGTGAGCGAAATTTCCTAATTAAGAAATCTAGAATCCACCGGATGATTACCAGACTCACTTAATCAAATGGTGTTTTGGCAGATTTGAAAAATCCATTTGACATACTTGTGAAAGACTGGACGGCCTCAGTTAAATTCGAACGGTTAACAGTAATAAATCATACACAACGGCTAATAAGCCAAAAATGGCCATTCCAGTATCCCTTGTCTTCGTCGGTAATAACATGCTGCCTATATCATGCGCCGTTGTACGGCTGTTAGTTGGGTTCGAGAGAGAGAGCCCCTAAGGAATAACGGAACGAGTGAGTTCCGTAAGAACGACCGGTGAGCGCACCCTACCATCATAAGTCATACATTCGACATTTGCGTAAAACTCGACTGTCTCGATGGTATTCGAACCGACGACAGCAAGCGGAAGGCTTGAGTACAGCCAACAGCATAAACACCTCAGCTACGAGATCCCACCAAGAGCTGCGAAGTTAATCACATTCAGGTCAAGTTACCCGCTCAACCTACCGCAACGTATGGAGTTTATCGATCCTGACACAGTAAGCTGACTGCATGAGCGGGATTCCCTAATTTAGTAGTCTAGAATCCACCAGATGACTACCAGACTCACTTAATTAATTGGCGTTTGGCAGATTTGAATAATTCATTTGACCTTATTGTGAAAAACTGGACGGCCTCGGTGGCATTCGAATGCGAGACAGCAAGGGCAAGGCTTGATTAAACCCAACGCTAGAATAATGAGTAAGCATTGTGCAAGAAAATTGAAGGGCAATAGTTGTGAAAATGCGAGTCCCAGGTGGTATATCTAGCGAAGAGCACTGCCGGCCTTTCCAATGAACGCAAGAGAGATCTGAAAAGCAGAAGACGTCATGAAAGGAAAGGTCGAACGACGTACCTGGACCGGCCTGCTTACAGTCCACGGTGAAGTGGGTTGGCTGACCTCGGGTGACAGATTCCACTCCTGGACCGTAGACACGAACTTTGCCGGGATTGGTTGGTTCCGCCACGTCGACCTAAAATTTACACCAATTCACAACCAGTAAAAGATGGGGTAAATAGAATCAGTTAAACACTCCAATCGCATGTTTTAGAAGGCATGTGACCTAACAAGACAAGAGCATTCCAAATCCACCCGAGGTGGCGATTTATGACTGTTTTGGTGACGCCAAGGCCAATTAAGTGCCGTTCGGTCTATATGGTCGACATCTGTAATTTTCGGAGGCACTAATGAACACCAGTATACCGAAAGTGCTTGGGACAAGAACCATTTTAGTGTCCTCTGGTAAGTGTGTTCTGGGTGCTTGTCTATCCTCGGGAAGTTGGGCTTGGAGTTCAGACTTATTGGTTATAGTAAGGGTTGTAGTTGGGTTTAGGAAAAGGGTGAAATGATTAACGTTAGAAATGGGGTTAATTTTATTCCAGAATCTAGTCTTGAGCATAAAGTTGATTAGCTCTGTTCCAGAATCTCCTCTGTAGCCTTTCAGACTAACTTCAAATCCACATCCAAACATCAACAGTAATCCTATTCGTAAGCCAACCCTTAATTCCATCTCCGACCACAACATCGGCCGTAAATCGAACCACTATCCCTACCCTTTCTCCACAGTGAGAAACTGGGTATCCTATTGTGCTAGCGGACCTTAAAAGGGCCTCAACACTTTTACGATTGCAGATGAATATGCGATTTTGGATGGAGAGCTAATTGGCGCTACCTTGGACCCTGCAGCACAATGGTACCTTTCATAGGCTCACACCTACGGCGGAAACTGATCCCAGCCCCAACTCTCATCTCTGTATTTTGATGTACAAGACACCAGTCAGACTTTGAAAGACTGGGCACCTCCGTCGCGACTAACCTAAAGCTAGGCATGGCTGGCTGATTAGGCGTAATCAGTAAACTTAATAATTGCTGCCTTGTCTCATATATTAGTAAGAAGCAACTGCCGAAAGAAAACTTCAGGTGTGTCCGTTGAGTTTTTCCTCCCCGACTTTTGTCCGATAGGTCAAACTCTACACAAGACAGACTGATTAAGGTAAGTGAGCTGTAAATGGTCTCGTCTGATTCCCCCTCCCCCCCATCTAGCTCCTTAAGACTCGCGCATGTTTCGGTTTGCAAGGACAGAAACTAACCCTGAAGGGAGCTCTGGGCACGCTGACTCCACTGTATGCCGGAAGGATGGTGTGCTTCTTGGGTTTCTTCGGGGTGTAGCTGACGGTGGCCGTGCCATCGCCGTTGTCGCGAACCTTAACGGGCACGGGATCGCCGACGTCGTCGCGAACATCCACCGTGGTGGGCGCCGGTGCGCCCGCCTCGCGTGCATCCACGGTGAACTCAGTTGGTACACCAGCCACAACACCCGGTGAGATGCCCGGCCCGTAGCACTTCACCTGTGGAAGGGGGGGGGAGACATTTGAGACTTACAGGTCTTGCGCAAAAGACGTAAGGCGCATGGGAGATGCACAAAAACAAGTAAATAAAGTCAATCTACATTTTGTGATGCTTGGTTTGTTTGTGGTGCCGCGATTGGCCTCAGGGAGAATACGCAATGCGATACAGACTCTGGAAGCATGGGTTATCGTTACAGGTAACGATGTCGTCAGAGGTAGGAGTTGGGCTCAATCCTGATCCCAACCTCTAACCTTGACTCTAACCCCATCCTAGTGTTACAGAGGGCAACCAATTTCTTCCTTTCGGACTCTGTCAAACAAGCAAGTATTTTTTCTTGCCTCACTAAATTAAGTAGTATGGTGGTTTGCACATTTTCCCGAACTGGCTAACTATAAGGCGGCCTTACATTAAAACCAGCTTCTTCTGCACGCAGTGGGACCTAAGACTGCTTTTAGCATATATAGCCTAGTATATTTTAGGGTAGTAGGCGATGCCCTTGGTGACCCTATTAAAAACGGTGCATGCAATATAAATGTTAAATGCACATCGTACTAAAAGTTTGTCAGTAACATATTAGTTTACGGAAAAAAACATTGTACAGTGCTGGACTGCGAAGGGTGCGGCAGGCGGTCTTTTCCGTGTACATAAGAAATTTTAAGCGCAGTTATATACAATCAGTATAAAGTGCAGTCATTTGCGTAGTTTGCGAGAGAAAACTTCATGGAACGTCAGGGATGCGTTACATAGGGATGAAATCAGGAAGTAAAATTGATGGCTGGCCGCAGATAGTCCTGCAGTGAGAGTCGTCGTTTATCAGTGATCAAACGATCCAGCTGTCTTTTGAATACAGCCATTGTATCAGATTTACGATTTGTCATGATACTCGTTACGGAGAGCTGGAACGGTTCAGTCACGGCCGCAACCACGCGCCATGTAGCAGGCCAAGCCGGCCGCGGCATGTTATCTAAGACAGCCTTTCAGCGTGAACTGCAGTATCGGGCACGCGTAATACTTTTGCTCGCACGTGCGGCCGATCGAATATTCGATATTTTCCCGCAAGGGATTCTCGCGCACAAACCGACCAATGAACAATCGCCACGCGGAAAGCCGGAAGTTTCTGGAACGCCTGTCATGGTTTGGTACGCGATAGGTTGTAGTATTTCAGAAAGTCCAGGGGACCAAATAAATAAGGCGAGTGTGGATAAGAAAAAAACCCCCATGTTCGCAGGCTGTTAATAAAATGACCATTTTCCGAACCGGGTCTCATTCTGTTCCACCTACCTGTCGGGTTATAACAATACCTATTGGAAGTGGTTGAGCAACCCACCATTAAGTCTCCCCTTTAATTCGCAGCCTTCATGGCGTTCTGGAAACATAGACTGAACTTCCTAGAAAATCCATTTAACTGAGTTTTCCTCCCACAGCCGACAAGCTGTCTTTTCTATTCATGGCGTTGGGTGTGCGAACACCTCTCAGGTGTACTTACCCTGTTTGGATCGCACTTGCCGGTATCCGCTGAGATGGGCACCATGTAGGGAGACTTGGGGATGTTCTCGTCATTGCAAAGAATGTGAACAGCGTACTCTCCGGGCACAGTTGGCCAGTATACCACCGTAGCGGAACCGTCACCATTGTCTGCGCAGTCGATGCGGGCTTCGCTGGGTCCCTCGATTGAGAAGCCTGCAGTGAAATACCCCGAGGGTGAGGGTTAGGTTTGCGAGCAAGATATTCCATGATAATTTATAAGTACTGAACAATCAAGCTACCCACCTAAAGCCCCGGTTTCACCGTTCGTTTCAACCACGAAGACGGCGGGCTTATTGACGATGCCTGAGACGAGACCCGGGCCAAAGGCTCGTATCCGTGTGTCTTTGTAGGGGCCCACTTCAACCTGAGAAGGATGAAGGAGAGGAAAGAGAATACAATATCACTTTCAGTATAAAGCCTTGGAAACTCCAGGTGGTGAACGCAATACATTTGGCGGTATTTTCAGTGACTCAGTGTGCATTATGGAGGGAAGTCGGTTCAAAGACGAATAATTTTCGGTGATTTTATGACTTCGGTAATCAACAGAGGCTTGCTAAACATCGCTAAATTGAGCATAGGCGACTAAATACGTGGGAAAGGAAGCTGGAAGGGGTCTTCGATTCCTTCCTTCTCAACCAGGTCGGGGGGGGAGTTAGCTGATTGTCTTGTACGATCATAGGATCGCGAGTTGATTTGGCAGGCACCAAAAGACTGTTTAAAAACCACCGATAGAACATACCACAACATCAGCAGAGACGGTAGCAATCACATTACTAGACAAAACTGTGGTTTACATTCACTGTGACGGTTGAGGGAGAAATAATTTGGTGGGATAAAATATATCCAATTACAGAGAGACGATGTGATTTTATACCAATGGAAAAGGATGATCTTTGACTTGTTTGTTCCTGGCTACCAGGATTTTCAAGGATTCCTGTTTACAATGTTTTATACTAAAATAACCGATAAGTACATTATCTACGCATCAGAGACTGCAGTTTTGACCATTATCTACCGTACGGATGGGGCTTTGGTAATTCAAAATTTATTGCTGATTGCGTGGAGACTTTGGTAGAAGCATAGTTTTGTGATTTGAAAGTCGACAACCTTTCCTCCCCGGATAAGAACAAAAGACAGCCGTTTTGGCCTACCTTGAATGGACTAAGCATGATATGGTCGCCACCATATCGAACATTGACAAGATGGGGTCCAGATTGTTGGGGTGTATAAACGCATTCGTGTAGGTAGGCTCCAACCTTCCTTTGTTGGCATTTTTCCTCCCGGCCATCTAATGAAAAAAAACGATACTTAACGAGACACATAAAGGTCTACTAACAAAACATAAGTAAACGTCATGTTAAAGTTGAAACGCACTTGGACCGACAACAGTCGCCTCCAGCACACCCTCGCCGGCGTCCTCTGTGTGCACCTTGAAGTCGGCGAGATCCCGAACACGGACGCCTTGGGGTTGAATTCCCCGTCCGGTAGCATAGGCTTGTTTCGGATCACATGCTGACAATTTGACGAAAGATTCAAGTAAAAAATGAGAAATAGTTCCCTGAACGAAGACCACCAAGGAAACCAAAGCAAACATTGAGTTATATATGCTGAACTCTTCCCAGCACGAAAAGAAAAGAAAACAGACCTTTTGGAACGGGGTGGATCATCAGAATGGTTGGTGCATGCTGTGTGATCCAAAATAAAGCTCGCGTTGATTCGCGCACAGCACGAATAAACGAAAATTTGGCGTATACTTCAACTGAAATGACAAGCCATGAGTGGGATATGCAGCACGTTTTGACCATCGTTGCAACAATTTCACCAACTTCATGCGCGCCAGATCTACCCACCTGTTTTCCACGGTGCACCTGCTTGTTCAGCGCGTGGTGCTGCGCGTGGGCTAATGAGTGGCTCTAAAAGAGCGGGATAGACGTGTAAAGAGATGACAGAGATGATGAGTCTGCGAGTTTTCCTTTGTTTAATTCAGGACCCATTCCATGTATTACCCACGAAACAATACTCCGCACCATAACATAGCGACTTAAAACTACAGGATTCTTTGGCCAAATCGCTCTAAAAGAACGGCGTAAACTTGTAAGGAGAGCAGTATATTACTCCTGACAGGGGGTGATGACCCTGCGAGTTTTCTTTCATTTAATTCAGGACCTATTTCATTTATTATCCAGGAAACAACACTCCACACCATAACACAGTGACTTAAAAATATAGGATTCTTTGGCTGAATCGCTTCCATCCAGCCAGCGTCTAACTACGGCATCAAGACGCGAAGGCAATGGTTCGGATCGAACTTCATTTCAGTCCACAGATTCTGATCTCTTGTCAAGTCCTCTGACGTGTGGCCATGGGAAATATTCCATCCGCGGTTTCAGTCAACTTACTGAACATCAATAACAGTGATCTAGTGGAAAAAGGAGTTAAGTAGATGAGAATACTCAAAGCAGCGAAACCACCACCTAGTGAGCGCGTGACAACAAACATTTCAGGAGGTCACCGTTTGTGTGCTTGTTTAAACGCGACAGTCCCTGATGGAACGGTGAGATGCTTTATGAAAAGAACCAGTGCGAACGCCAGCGCAGCTCTGTAGCCTTCAAACATGATTTTGTACTGATGAAACGGTCAAAGACGCCCATAGAATTGCACACATTTTGCTACTTATTTTTCGCAGCTATGTCGAAATATATTTGGAGGTATTTGATGGACTCGGCGACAATGCATCGCGGGATGTGGAATACGCCCTGCGCTATCGGATACGAGTTCAGTAAACACCGGAAAAGTTTGGGGTTTTAATTGGAGTTATTGTAAACTGCACGATCTCCAAAGCCTAAAAATCACTCGAACACTAACTATATGCCAATCGCATTACCCACTTAACCGTTACCTATCACATGCGCCATGAATTCTGAAGTATTGCAAACTACGTCAGGTTATTAAGTAACTTCGAAAAATATCCGCAGATTTTCAACGTGAACTCCAAAGGCCTTTTTTTAGAGAGAAACAAGCGAAAGCTGAAAGCCAGCGAATAAAAACTGCCAGATTTGTAAAGAGATGTACTTTTCATCCTGTGAAAAAGGAAGGACTGAAAAGTATCAGCGGAAAGGCCTGGAGACGGTGGGAACAGCAGAATGCAGTTTTGTTCATCTCGTTAACTGTTCAAGAAAGCAAGAATTGGAGCTATACCGACTGAAGGTTTTTCCACGGATCTTGAAGACTCATTCCGGATAGGCCATAAACTGCAGCAAAGTGGAAGGGAGAATGCCCGAAATCAAATCGGGGCAACAGTGGGGTGTAAGACCCAAATTAGCTGCCAGTAGACTGTGTATCGTGTGCTGATAAATGCACTGTCTTGTGTAGGTGGGTTTGCAATTTCCGTCCGGTTTCCCCAACGTAGTTTCAGTCTTCACTGTTACAACGTATTTAATAGACAACTGCTGAGGTTCCAGTGGGTGACAGTATGCCTTTGGGTTGCATCAAACGGCGACGAAGTGTTGCCTGGGGTCGATGGGCAATGCCTACCCTGGCGGGTTGTAACAGTCGTGAAACCGGACGGAAATTGCAGACCCGCCTACATGAGCACAAACTGGCAACTCGGAGGCTAGACCAAAACTCACAGTTTACAACTCACATAGGAAAAACTGGGCACAGTTTTGATTTTCAAGGAGCAGCCGTCTTAGGCAGGGGCCCTCAAGGACAGAACGTCTCACACTTGAGGTTTAGTATTTGGATGCCAACTCCATCAACAGGCATCTAGACCTTCCTGCGGCCTATAAAGTCCTGCGTCACTACATACGCCATGACGAGGACAAGACGGTTATACGCAACTTAAGAATACCGAGTAAACACGGCCTGTCGATCATTTCACCCAAATGGGGAACGCAAATGCAACTAACCCCAATTGAGGTGACGACACACAATACAGAAGGTCATCAACACTCACAAGCGACGACCAGTAGGACAAGACAGCGAAAGAAGAAAAAAATCGATCAGCCCAAGGCCAACTAATCCGACTGTCTATTCAAAAATCCTGATCGATTTTTTCACTAGACGCTTTGGAGTTGGACCCAAGAGCGGACTTCCAAAGTGTCGAGGCAACAGCAAGTGTCCAGACAGGACGCTGAAGGCAGTAGCGCTATCAGCCCGTTCAGTGCAGGAATAAAAAGCAAAGACAGCCAGAAAGATTCACGACTGTCGCTCAGCAGCACAGACGAACCCAGAAGACCAAGAAAGACCTCA